TATCAGCCCCTATCGCAACTGACCCTAGACGTAATCGGCACAATACTTCTTTAGTTCTGGGCCTTCTAGAAGACAGACGTTTAGGGCTCCCACGTCACACTTGGCGACACAGTTGAACACAACCTTGATCTTCTGAGGTTTCTTAGGGTAGTGCGGGAGGTACCATAGTGGATGTCCTTTTTCAGTTTCTGCAGCTGAGCGTTCGACATCGACGAACTCCAGATTTCATTTCATAGCATTACAATACACTTCCATTAACTACGGTGAGACGTAGTTTATCGATACTGAGTAGCTGTCATCACCGGTGATTGGTTTGCAGATTATCGAACCGAAAATCGTATGTACTGAGCAATACTAAATACGGCGTCCTATCCGTTGACCCGAAACCCAATGCGCCTCGGGTACGTCACAGCCAATCAGTATGTCTACTCAGGTGTCCGACACAGCTTCAAACGGCGGATCGTAGAGGCCAGCGCCGCGCCAACGAATTGGTGCATTCTGAAGCCCTTACGGGTAATTTCGAAATGGTAAATGCCTGATGAACCTTGATGTATAGGCCAACTTGAGACTCAATTAGGAAGCTTGAGCTGCGTGCGCCCCGTTAACCGTGCTAATTATGAGAGAGTTGTTTTGTCCTCCCAACTCATGATCGCGGCAAATCTCTCCGTCACTAGTGTGGTATTCGACCCATTGTCTAGAAATGTCACCGCTTGAACCAGACCACGCGGAGTCTGCACTTCTTTGGGTACTATTCCCAAGCGAACCGGCTCACTTGACACCCGTTTGTCAGTGCAAACGGATTTTGGTATATCTCTCCGATACCCTTATGATCTGTATCGACCCGGCCATTATCCGGTCGCACGAACCTTCCATCGTCGTTTATTAAGGGAAGATGGTGACCATTGTTTTTGTCTTGACTACATTTGGTTCTGCCTCGGCATAAGGCTCCTCGGTGAGTGTCGTTCAGGCACAAGCAGCAAGACCCTATCTTGTTAGCCCCTACTCAGCGATCCATCACCTTCACTCCAAAAACCTCTGGACAGGCTAAAAGCTTGTGAAGGCCTGAACACAGCTTGCACTTACTCAGCTTGTGCAGTTCATATGAGATTAAGTTGGTTCTCACCTACTTCTGTGGAGGACGGGGACCCCGGGATCCAGAGGGCATGAAGTTTCTTGACGTTTTCGTAGTTATTGAGCTTTCTCTCGCAAGTTGACCGAATAAGATATTTTCTGTCTGAGACTGGCAGCTTATGAATTTCGTGAATTCGTCCAAAGGTGCTTCTCTGTTCATTTTCTCACTCTTATCATCTTCGGTCACCCAATTTGTCTTAAGTTCGGCAGGCAAGCATTTGACTATCGATTCCAGTGTGTGCATTGTGCACAATTTTGAGTGATACTTGAGGTCGTTGAGGACAATGCTGCGGTTCTGAATCTTGATGTATGTTTACACAAGTTATACAAATACAAATACAAAACAGCGGAGCTAGCCGCGCCTAAAAACCATTGCCGTTGCAAAATTGTCTATTGCGAGCATAGACCCAAACCATTGACAGGCCAAAATCAACTGAATCTGGAATAGAAATGCAGTTACCGGCAGTCAAAGTGGAATTCCAGCAAATAAAAACGAGAAGAAGGAACATAGCAAGAATATGTGCAGTGGGTTCTAAGGCGGAGGATGAATATAAAAATATAAATTGCAAGGAAAGTAGCTACTAAAAGATAATAGCGTTTAATGCTGCCAATTCTACGAAAAACAGATGTTAAAGTACGAAGTGAACCCTGTAAATGTTCATGTTCCTCCGGCGAGGTTGTAAAACTAAGTCAGTGTACTAATACGAAGTTGTGACTAAGAACGTGAACACTTATTCATGGATAACAAGTGGCACGCAAGGGTGTAAACAAAGAGGCATAATATCTAAACTTGGGGAAAGCTAATAATCTGGCCCGCTTTTGAAATCTTTCGATATGTTTTGGTTGTGCAGTTGGAGCATTGGATACGCAGATAGATCTTTGTGAATTCGATTACCAAATTTTGAGGTTGACTTTGTTAACCTTATTTCATTAGAAAGTTTATTCTACAGGCGAGAGTATTTGCCAAGGAAACATTTCCTCTTCAAAATAGATCTGTCATAGGATGAGAGAAGAGGAATAAAGTGGTTCCAAAGAGTGTGGGACCATGCCATAAGACCATGCCTGGAGTATTGCCGTATAATCTTCACTAAAACCCTTATAACCGACGAAACAGCTGAACAATAAGGAATGATTCGCCGTCCTCAACATAAAACCCTTTGGTTACGTCGCATGAAACTAAACCTTTGCTTACTCCATAGGATAATCCACCATCGCGTGTTTTCTTCCTCGGGTGCACTATGCACATTCTTCATTTCCACATATTTCTTGCATAACAGTAGATACCGGCTAGTGATCTCTAGGTCTTTTTTTCCCTCCGATCTGACCTCTTCGTGATAAAATGTGCTAGGTTATGGAATTTACTTCCCACTGAGATCTGCGAATGCGCATCAGCGACCAAATTCGAAGCGATGCTCAAGCATTTCTTAAAGCTCAAGAACACACTTATTATAACAGGAGTGAACCTAATAACTAAGCAAGGATTTCAGAAAGGTTCCAACAATCATAATATTACCCAATCTTACTTCTGTGGGTCTAAACTATCCATATTCCACTCGTGTTCCTTTTATGCGTGACACACACCAAACAGGTAGTGGTGTTCACATTCACGTCTCAGTTCTACTTCAGTACCGTGATACAGCTTCAAAACTCCATCAGTGGAAATACAAAGTTTATTGGTGAATAATTTCGCAGACATAGCTACCCAGTTCTCCTATTATGGTAACCCCACATCTCACACCTTTCAATCTTTCCTCCCAATATGCGGTGACACGTGCTAGTCTAGCTGTGTACAAGTTCATATTCGCGACTTATTATCTGTTCACAGATGGAGCTTAAAAGTTTGATCGGTGGAATATTTTATTTCATGGTGAACACTTCTTCAAGTATAGACACAAATGAATCTTATTATTTACGTTCTTACTGACCATGTTTCATCTGTTTTCACCAATCAGTGACACACGCTATTCAGCTAGCGATGTTCACATTCACGTCTCAATCCTATTAGAGTTAGCACAGACACCTCCTCCGCCAACGGATGTCCCGCGCCACCAAATTAACTGGACATACCTTCCAAATTTGAATCGTTCCCTGGATCAGTTTGACTTCTTCCTTTTACCCGACCCGCAAATAGCGGCTGATAATTTTTATCAAAAACTATCAGCTGCATCCACTACTTAACTTCTGCTGTATCTGCTCACTACCCAATTCCACAATTGGAGAAATTAAATACTAAATTCAATAAAATTTCTAGATGGTATTAATCCTTTTATTATTTCTCTCTCCTGATACAGTTACATTTCCTCTCAAGAACAATCCAACTGAAAACTGCTAAACTACGCAGAAGCCAGGAACTCAAGGCTTCACCCCATTCGAATTCAATCTGTAAAATGTGTCATATATATATGGCTAGAAATAAAGTCATAAGTTCCAGTATTACACGCCTGATTCTGACTGGAAACATTAATAATAATAATATTAATAATAACGGTATATTTNAATTGTACAGAGAGCGTAAGAACGTAATTTTTAAACGGGCACAGAGAACACCATAGAGATGCAATACGGTGAAAAAGAAACACCAAGGGGACAAGGCCATATAATGGAGTACTGGAGGTAATCTGTTATGGAGAGCACATCAATGTAAACGATTGTCTTATGAAGTGAATTGAGGAAGACACCGAAAGAGTTGAAAATATCCACTCGGGTGATAATGCTTGGAAACCAGTTCGAAGAACAGAGGGAGAATAGTGAAAGTGAAAGCTTTAGAATTCCAGAGAAAGAGCAGCGGTCGAGCCAAGGAAGTGCAACGGAATACAGTAGGACGACCAATGGATT